CTCTCTCTCTCTCTCTCTCTCTCTCTCTCTCTCTCTCTCTCTCTCTCTCTCCCTCTCTCTCTCTCTGCTTCCACAAATGTGACTTCTCAGCTTGCTATTCCAGCTGCCACGGACTCTACTTCCCTGCTATGATGGGCTCTCATTCCTCTAGAAGCATAAACCCAAGTCAACTCTTCTATAAGTTCCCTTGCTCATCACACCAGAAAAGTAATTAGTACAGAAGTAGATAGCAATGCGAAGTCTGATTTACAATCAAGTTATCCCTTCAGCCTTCCCACTCTTAGAAATAGCCAGATTTCCTCCTTCTGTTCTTGTCTCCTCTTAGAATATGGAAATCTCAAAAGCAAACGATGTCTATTTCTAAATCCTTCCTCAAGCTTCAAACAAACTGTGAGAGCTGATGTTATTATAATACAGTTTCAGGCCTTTTGGGGACAGTAGAAAATACGCTAAGTCCACAGTCAGAGCTGAAACTGCTCTGCTAAGATACCAAAACAAAGATTTTGCCAAGAGAATGTTCTCATCTTTATCCTTGATATTCCCCCCCTTCCTCCCTGCTCCAACTTCAAAAATTATTTTAATCACATTTATTTATGAGTCAGGGCAGGCACGCTATGGCATGTGCATGGAGGTCAGAGGTCAACTTGCATGAAGTGATCTACCATGTGAATCCCAGGTTCAGACTCTGGTAATGTGATGGTTAACATTACATTTAAGTTTTTAATTACTATGCTTAATATATAGAGATAAAGGTATTATTGTGATATATAATGTGTGTGTGTGACAAAATGCCTTAGCATGTAATCCCCCAGCTTGTACAGCTATACCCTGTCAGCCCATTCCCCTTTTTTCCCAGATGTTGAAAACTATTCTTAAGTTAACCGAACTGGTAAAATTTGCTGTTCTTGCAAGATAATAGGTCATAAGACTAACGGCTATTTCTGCTTTTGTGTAATCAAATTCTGTTAAAAAAGATGACTAGTACGACTGCATGACATACATGTTAAAAGAAGGCCCTGCCTATGCTTAGGCAAAATCCATGTAACCTTGTGGGGTTTGCCTTTATAAACTCTGGGCTGAGATGGCTCAGAGCTGTATCGGGAGCTCTCTCAGGTGCAACCCTGCCGCCAGGTATGAGTGCCAGTACCTAAATTAAAAAAAAAAAACAAAAAACCTCTTCTTGCTGTGGGGGAGTGGGGCATGCCTTTTAATCTCAGCATTTGTGAGGCCAAGGAAGGTGGATCTCTGTGAATTCAAGGCCAGCCTGGTCTACAGAGTGAGTTGGAGCACAGCTAAGGCTACACAAAGAAGCCCTGTCTCAAAAAGCCAAAACCCAAAGCCAAACAAAAGGCCTCTTCCTATTAAAATGTATTCACGGTCATGGTGAATCTCTGAGCAACCCTAAACCCATAACAATAGTCAGGCTTGGCAGGAAGTACCTTTATCGCTGAGCCATCTTGCTGGCCCAAAACGTCTTTTTTCAATAGACTTGTGGTCTTGGAACTCTCCTGATTGCCAATACAGTAATATCCCCTCATCTGAGCTTTTACTTAATGATGCTGCAAGTCAATTTGTAGTCAGCATGGTTAAAAAAAAAAAAAAATTAAACTGAAATCTCAGAAGGATCTGGGTGTTGTGGTGCACATCTGTAATCCCATTCTTGAGAGATAGGGAGAGGAGGATCAGGAGTTTATGGTCATCCTCAGCTCCAGGGTGAGTTTGAGACCAGCCTGGGCTAGGCGGGATGTTGTTTTTAAAATGGCAAAGGAAATCTCTGGGGGTGGGGGGATTGTAAGTCTTAAATTGCACACTGCTTTGAGTGACATGGTTGAGCTTTATGTCATCTCGATTTAAAACAAAGCAGAGGCCCCTCCTGTCCGATTGTCAGGTCAGCAATAGCCTAACACTCTATCACAGTGCCTGTGTCATCCAGCTCATGTCATCTCCTGACACAGGCTTTGTACACACACACACACACACACACACACACACACACACACACACCCCTCTCTTCCTCTCCAAGGTCTCACTCTGTAGCCCTGGCTAGTCTGGAACTCACAGAGATCCACCTGCCTTTGCTCCCCAAGACCTGGGATTTAGAGGCAATGGCCACCAACCCCACCTGGCCTAACTTTGCATCATCCTCGAGTCACAGGCACACAGTACCTGAGGATATTTTGAGAGAACACATACATATAACTTGTGAAGTATATTGTTGTGATTGTTCTGTTTTGGTCTCAGCATTTTACTGTGCCTGCTTTATGAATTGAACTTAATCACAGGTATGCATGTACAAGGGAAGAAGCGCAGTATCTAGATAGGGTTAAGGGCTACTAAAATTGCATTTCTAAGCCTCCATTGAGCACCTTGGAATACGTCCTCCATGGATACGGAGGAATTACTGCAACAAAGAAGATTTCGATAACAGAAATTAAACCTAAACCAACACATGAGAAATCACAGGCTCGATCATAGAGCAGCTGCGAGACAAGACGGAGACCCCTTCTTGAGTCACACCTAGAGTCAAGAGTTCAAATAACATCAAAGAAGCCTGTCCTCCTCCGCTTCCCCCCTCAGTTGATTTCATTGTCAAACTGGTTTCTCCCACAGGTTAGCCCATGTTCCACCAGCTGGGCAAAGAACAGCTCACACCAAGTGACCTTGCCCGGGGCTTTTATGGGACCATGCAGGGTTCATCTTCATGGCACCAAATTGGTTTTTACAGAATTCCTAAGCCAGCCATTTGTCCAAAAAATATAGTCAACAAAGTTTGGATCATTCACCTACCAAAGGGGAA